AATCGCTAAGCGTATTACATGTCTGCTAAATTCTACTCTAATAATAATAACTAAATAAAACTAAGTGATAATAATAATAAAATAAGTAATGATAATAAAATACAATATCGGAATAAATAACTAATAAAATAATAAAATAATAATAAACTGTTCTATAACAATATTAATCAAAGTTGTATTTGTATTTCTCATATTATAAACATCTGCGTAGCTAACAGTTATGTAAAATGCACTATAAATCAAATTTAATTTATATTTAGCTTTGTATAGACATATACCTATATACTTACAAAAAAAATCATATATGTATTTATAAAAAATCTAATTAGAAAAATAATTCTTACAATTAAAATTCTGCAAGTGCTGGCAGCACAATATTAAAACATAGCATCTATGCCCTTATAAACATATTTGGCACTATGTTTTGATAGTATATGTGCTGGTACTTGCAGAATCTTACAATTTATCATTATATATATATAGGGAATTTCTATTTTCACCTGGATGAAATTACCTGGCACGTGATGTAAAGCCACTGTGGCATCGATCACGTGATCTACACCACATGATAACCAATCAAATTACGTACAAAATTATATGCGATCACAGTTCGATCATGTGATTTGTGTTACTTAAAGAGCCAATAAAATTATATAATCACATCAGTAATTTGGTGAAGCTTAGTATATATTAATGATAGTACGTACGTACGTACATACGTACAGTGCATAAAATCTAAAATTTCAATTGCTTTATATAGATAACCAATATGTATAAAATAATTGCAATTGAGTACACATTGTTTATATGTATTATTTTATTCGAAAAAATTAAGAGTTCTAGATCCATCACTTTATTAAGGTCGTTAATTTAAAAAATTTACTTCCAATGTGTTATAGGACCAGTTTATAAGCATTATTCCGCACTACGTACTCCAACTCTATTATCCCATTATATAGTATATGTAGTATTTATTTAGATTATACACTTATATAACCTTATCAGTATTATCAATTTAGCAATACTAACATTTCAAAAGCAAGAAGAGTATTTTACAAACCTATTTTTTATACAGATATTCTCTTAAAATATGACAAATACATACATATATACATACTGCAATGCATATGTACTAAATCCAGGTTAAGATTAAATCTAATTAATATTTTAAGTACATATGCACTAAATTTTTGTATTTAAATTTGAATAAATATGACAAATTTTATAAGCACGTATATGCATTAAGTTTAAATGTAACAAATATTTTAAGTAATGGATATTAAGGGTTTAAATATATATATATACATAACAAACATTTTAAGTAATATATGTTAAAAGTATATAAAAGCTGCTTAAATGGGACAAATCTTTTAAGTAAAGTTTAAATATGACAAACCTTTCAAGCAGTGTATATAGAAGTTTAAATATAATGAATAAATATGTGTTTTAAACGTGATCGCTATGAATTTTTGAAACTTGTTTTTACACAAATAATCTTAACCTAATAATGGGCTCTTTACTACATTCAAATTCTAATATGCCTAATATTATTGAACTTGACGATAATACAAATGAGCTTTATGATCATCATAATACTAATGTTGGCACAAGCATAAGTGTTGACTCTGACGATAGTATTGATTCAAATCTTGATATTAACGATGCACCTCAAGAAATGTTTTCACTTAGCAACAATTTAGTACCATCAATTGAAGTTAGAAAAACTTTTACTGATTGGTGTGATGTTAAACAATATGTTAAGGCCTACACTATATCACAAGGTTTTGCAACAAGATTGGACCATACAGAGAAAAGCATGAGCATCATTATTAGAGCAGACATTGTTTGTCGTCGTGCTGATATTCCAAAAAAAACAAGTACTGGGTTGAGAACTACAAAGAGCATTGCAATTGATTGCTCATTTAAAATAGTAGTTCATTTGATTAATAGTGAATATAGTATAAGATCCGCTGAACTTAAACATAACCATCCCATGGATACCGCAGTAACTTCGTTTGATCCTGGACATCGCAAATTAAGTCATAGTGAAAAAGATCAAGTAAAAATATTATTTGACAGTGGTGTACCAGTTCCAACAATTATTAGGATGTTAAGTGAACAATATGGTAGATATATTCACAACAAGAATGTTTACAATTCTTTAAATTGTTATTCACGTGACCGTGTTAAGGGCTTGTCACAAATATCTGAACTTTTAACCCATTTACATAACAATCGTGAATATAAAATCACTTATTCAGTTAATGATAATAAGCTTCACTGCTTATTTTTTGCTATTCAATCTGCGCTTACAACATTTAAATGTTATCCAGAGATCGTATTAATAGACGCTACTAATAAAATGAATCGTTTCGGAATGCCACTTTTACTTATTAGTGGAGTTGATGCAATAAGAATTACATTTCTTATAGCAAGTGGACTTCTTGCCGATGAAACTACTCTGACTTACTGCTGGATACTTCATCAACTAAAAAAAGTAGCAGATGATGATGTTATTAACAGGGTGCGAACAATTTTAACTGATAGAGATCTTGCCGTACTTCCTGCAATTAAAACTGAACTTCTACATGTCAAGCATCAACTTTGTACCTGGCACATAGAACAAAACATTGTTAAGAATTTAACTAGCAAGCTTAGTAGTAAATTTGTAGCATTCAGTAAGGATTTTAAATTAGTCATGACGGAAACTGTTGAAGATCAATTTACTATTCGTTGGGGTCGTCTATTAAAAGAATATCCTGAAGTTAATAGTTACATGAAACAATGGAAGTCTATTTCTCATATGTGGGCATACTGTTATACCAATAAAAATGTTAACTATGGTATTAGAACGACACAACGTTCAGAAGCTAGTAATGCATATTTAAAGCGTCTGCTTGACCACACAGTACCTTTACCCGAATTAATTAATATGTTGGAAAAGTTATCTCGTAATCAACTTGAACGATCCCAATATCAGCAATATCGTTTACGTGGAAGCACCCGTCAACAATGCCCAGAATTATTAAAAAATGTTTCAATGGTTATATCAGATTTTATATATTCCTTGTTACTTGCTCAATATAATAGTGCTGCGCTTTATAGTGTTGAGGAACAGGGTATTGGTTTATTTAAAGTTTTTAATAAAAATCATGAACATATAGTATATTGTACTGAGATAGAGTTAGTATGCTATTGTGATTATGGCTTACAGTTTTCTTTACCCTGCCATCATATTATTGCCGTTCATCTTACTCGTAAAGAATCTCTAAGAGTTAATTATATTGGCACACGTTGGATTATCCCAGCAACAGACACAGATAATATAGTACAACCTGAAGAGCCATATGATATTAATAATAAGGAAAACTCTTCAACTATTGTATTGTCTTCTTTAAACTACGATGCTTGCGAAATTCCAATTAGCAAACAAACAACATTTAAAAGCACAGCTGATTTAATTAAGGAAATTGAAGTAATTGCCAATAGGGTTGGCTATGTTGAAATTAACAATTGTCTCTCTCTTTTCGTGAATAAGTTGAACAACCAATATCCCTTACAACAAGCCGATATTGGTGATCCTACAAATATTAAGATGAAAGGAAGACCAAGTAATACAAAGCGAAAAAAAACAGGTGCTGAACATTCTACCAAAAAGATATATGTATATAGTATTTGTAACGAAACAGGACATAACTCTAGGAGTTGTCCTTGCAAGGTAAGTAACTTTAATAATATGTTATACATTTATTGCCACTATTAACTAACTGTATATCATGTTAACTGTATATCATATATATCATGTAGTGACAATCTAAATGTAACTCATAATAACATACTTATAAGCAATAATAGGATCTCAGAATAATAATAGTAGGATTTTTTTTGAATATTAATCATGGCAAAGTTATAATTGTGGCGAAAATATTATTTATTGGCTCAATGTATTCAAAGTTTCTTGTAATGCTATTATAAGAAATCAAAAATGTAATCATGATTAGTGTTGAATAAAGCAACAATATGAACAGTACTACATAACTTTCGTATTCAATTACATTTATAATTTGATTTTATAGCATATACAATATTATATTTTAACATGTACAGTATATGAGTATGTACTTTGATTATACTATATAATTGTAAATTGTTAAATTATACATTAATTACCACTTAGCACTACAATTGAATAGTACTAGCAGGTACTTTGTAAGGAACCGGGTACCATATGTGAAGATATAACGTATGTAAGTAATAAATTAAATATAATTTTACTCTCGGGCATTGTTTAAGAAGTAATCCAGGTTTTAATCAAAGGAAATACTACTTTATTTTTAGGGAATATTTTATGGAATGCTAAATGGTATATAATAGCAACGGTTGATCTTAAAGAACCGATTTTATCTATTAAACTATAAACTTGTAGAAGCATTAAAAAATTAGTCTTTTAACTGTATCAAATTAGCCAATTCAATCTTGGGCAAACAATTATTATTCTGTATATATATTGGTACTGATATTGCGAATATATAATTTAATTGGCTCTTTAAATAACACAAATCACGTGATCGAACTGTGGTCGCATATAATTTCGTATGTAATTTGATTGGTCGTTATGTGGTGTAGATCATATGATCGATATCACAGTGGCTTCACATCACGTGCCAGGTGATTTCACCCGCGTGAAAATAGAAATTCCCATATATATAACTATAAAATGTTTTAATAAAGATTATTAATAAAATTGATTTTTTGAAATAACATTTGGGATTTGTTATAAGCAGGTTAATTTTATAGTATATAGTTTGAAACCTTGGTTGGCAAGCCTGTGGATATATAACTTTGAAATATTAATAATAAAGAAATCGATCAACTATTGTAAGCCAAAAAGCGATACTGACAAAGAGCTCTTGAATAGGATATTTGGTATACCTATTATACAATATGTCTTCATATTGCAATTTGCATATAGTCTGTTATAAAAATTATATTTATGTGAAAATCTGTATAAAAAAATATAAAAAATAAATACATTATAATATAGCAATACAGGATCTTAGTAAAGCTATACCACTTGACTTAACATGTAAGAGGGTTAAGAAATGTGTTTGCAATAAGAAAAAAGTAAAACAATAAACTAAAAATAAAGAAAAGAGTTGATGGCTCTAATCCTAAAACACAATAAAATACTCAAGAAAAAGGAGAAAAGACAATGGCTCAACTCAATATACCAAAAATAAATACTCAAAGAAGAAAGAAAAACCGATAGCTTAACTTTAAATATACAATAAAAATACAATAAAAGCTTTATTAAATATAATAAAAAAAAGGTAAGCAATAGCTACATGAGGTATGATCTCATCTTAATACTGAAAAAAAAAAAGAATTATATTTGGCAAAAACATATATGTAGTGTTCAAAAAAATCTGGCTTAAACGGGCTTATAAGCCGTATAACCTAAATATGCAAGGAGTATGCAAGAGGTATGCAAGGAGTGCATATGCATGCATAAATTATGCAAGGGTGCATATGCATACATAATTATGCAATAGGTGCATATTTATACAAGGGTATGCAAGGGGTATATATTTATGCAGAGAGTATGCAAAGAGTGTATATTTATGCAGAGAGTATGCAAGGGTGCATATTTATGCAGGGATATGCAAGAGGTGCATATTTGTGAAGAAGTTATACAAGGGGTGTATATGCATGCAGAGATATATATGCAGAGGTATGCAAGTGGTGCATATTTTATAAAAATTTTCTAAGTCTTTATATATATATAATATAATATTAAATATATAAAGACTTAGAAAATTTTTATAAAATATGCACCACTTGCATACCTCTGCATGTATACCTCTGCATGCATATGCACCCCTTGTATAACTTCTTCACAAATATGCACCCCTTGCATACCCTGCATAAATATGCACCCCTTGCATAACTCTTTCACAAATATACACTCCTTGCATACTTCTGCATAAATATGCACCCCTTGCATAACCTTTTACAAATATGCACTCCTTGCATACACCTGCATGCATATACACCTCTTGCATAACTCCTCAACAAATATGCACTTCTTGCATATCTCTGCATGCATATGCACGCCTTGCATAACTCCTTCACAAATATGCATACCTTGCATACTTCTGCATGCATATACACCTCTTGCATATCCCTACATAAATATGCACCTCTTGCATAACCCTGTATAAATATGCATCCTTGCATACCTCTGCATAAATATGCATTCCTTGTATACTTCTGCATAAATATGCACCCCTTGCATACTCCCTATATAAATATGCACCCCTTGCATACTCTATGCATAAATATGCACCTCTTGCATAATTATATATGCATATGCACCCTTGCATAATTTATGCATGTATATGCACCCCTTGCATACTCCTTGCATATTTTAGGTTATACGGCTTATAAGCCCGTTTAAGCCGAATTTTTTTGAACACTATATACATGAAAAGCAATGTCTGTCTAGATTTTTTATAATATATAATATTATATGCCTATATTATTTTATTTATTTAATAAAATATTGTTACAGTACCGTGGCCTTCTTAACAGCAGTACTATAACAATGACACGGCTACAGGGATCCTTCACAGGTT